CTCCTTTTATATGTTCTTAATATGTATAAATTAATTTTAATCTTCCTAATGAAAAATTCCAAATTTTAATCATTCTATTCTCACATGAAATCATGATTGATCCAGTTTTATCAAAAACTATTGCTCTACAATATCCCCTTTATTAATTAGAATCATCAATTAAATTAAGTTTAACTTGTGTATCTATCATTAATTATTTTTCCTATTAATTCTATTAAATATATACTTAAATCACTTTCTTTTATTTTTTAAGTTTATTTTCTTATTTTTCTTAGGTTGTCAATACTTCCTTCTCTTTTATAATATTCACATTTTGTAAACTTATTAATAGTTCTTCACAAATCTAAGTTTCTTAAAAGGATTTAAATTAATTCAATTTTTTAAAGATCTTTTGAACCTATGATTAATTAATTTAATTAATTTGATCAAATATAGATTTGTAATCGGATTAATTATATTTGGTTTGGTTAATTAGTTTTTCTAATTCATCAAAAAAACTATATGAAACATTTGATTGTCCCCATAACTAAATTTGTTTAATCCATTCAGTTGTATTCCCAATCAGATAATCCAATTATTGAACAATATTAGATTTTAATTAATGAAGAGCTTTTAAGAGTTCTTCAATTTATTAAATGTTAATAATTAACACATTCTCAATAGTTTCTTTCTTTTACCTCTGATTTTCTTCTATATTTTCTAATGCCTTATTAAAGCTGATTGGTTGGGATTTTGATTCTAAATTATCAATACATAGAGAGCATAAAAGTCTTTAATTCTTCTTAAGTTCTTTATCAATAGCAATCATTAAGACTGGAAGCTTATGTTTAAAAGAACAAAAAAGATCTTCTTCTTTTTCTATCATTTTTGATTAAATCATTTATAATTAATTTATTAAAAAGCTAATATCACACAAGACTCTCAAATTCATATTATTAATATTAATATACTAAATTTTTGAAAGGAATCAAAGTTGAATGCAAATTTATTTAAATTCTGGTAATAGAACTTAATTTTAGTAATTTGAAACACTTTTATTCATTATAAACCTATATATGTTATTAAAAATTGTCCAAAAATTATTTTTAATGTTAAAATTAAATACGATACGGAAAGGTTTAGAATTTAAGAAAAATTATAAACAGAATATT